ATGTAATGCATGTGTTGTCTTTAGGTTGATAGGCAATTTATTAGCTTCATGCCATCATATTACTCCCCTCTTGATTAATGACACTTTTCCAATATGACTGGGTCTTTGTCCTTAAAAAAATTGGTTGGTGTAATCTGTAAACATTCTAAAATTTAATTTTCGAGAGACATTGGGGAGATCGTTAACACTTACTATCCTAGATTTTCCAGAAAGCGTGGTTGGTTATGTGTATATCGTAAGTTATTTGTCAAAAAATATGGAAGAAGGCCATTAATATCCATGACATTACATTTTCGACGTCAAGATGCAAATGAGTAAAAATTTTCAATTTCTTCCGTCGTGCTTTGCGGTGCGTGACGAAATGCTAAATTCTATACGCCTCAGCAGGCGTCCACGTCTGATAAAAAGGCCTTGGTCTTAATCATTCTTAATGACATGCTCAGCTTTATCCAATAATTGTTTATTATACCACGTGAGTTTGATTGACACATTTCTATTCGGGGCTACACCATAAAATACTGCTTTCACTATAACAGACCGCGTCTTTCTTGGAAAACATCTTACCAGAGAAGAATTCGTTTCCATATTTGTCCGCTTCCAATTACCCTCGTTCAGGACTAAACCAAGATGAAGCTCCTCATTGTAACCCTTTGCGTTCTTGCTTATCTTATTCCTTTTGGTAAGTAGTTATTAAAGTCTAATAAATAGATAAGGGATAAATAGATATTAATAATAGATGTTAGTGATTTCTTTAGTGTTTGCTCGTACCGTTGGTGGCGTGTCTGGGCCGAAATCAACCTTGAACAAGTAAATTGTTGGGCGACTTTCCTTAAATATCTTAGAAACAACCCAAAGCTTTTTTAAGGGATTAAACTAGGAATAGATAACTGTATACAAATGATAGATTAACGGGGAAAAATAACTGAGCTAAGGGGTTTTCTTCCGCTCGTGTTCGCTTCTACCATGGGCGACGTCTACGTAGCAAAACGACTGATGCCAAATCAACTTTGCTTAAAAAAATTCTTTCTTGGGATAAGAACGTAAACTTCCATTAAATACCTTAGGAACAAAACAAAAATTTTTTTAAGGAATTAAACTAGGAACGGATAACTATAATCAACGACATATTCAAAAATCTTTCGGTTTTTCCGCATTCTTTGTTGAATTACCATTATTAATCATATCCTTCTCGTAATCACTACCAAATCCTGCAATCTGATTGGTTCAAAGGAGTGCGATTAATTCCCAAATCGCATCCTTAGGAGCTCTTAATCGCATCCTAAAAAAAATTTTTTTTTAAACAATGAAATAAAACAAAATAAAACAAAAAAAATCAACAAAAAAATCTTTTTTACATGTTTTTTTTTGTTCACATTTAGTTCTTCTACTTCATTAAATTGATTATTCTGCACTCTCTAGTGTCTTTTTCTTGTGTATGATTACAAAAAGGATATGATTAAGTGGTAATTGAACTTCGTGTCGTGCAATTTTGGTCTGAAATCAAACTTGCGATTTTGTAATCGCTTGTTTGATTTCAGACCAAATTGCACTCCACTCAGTTCAATTACCATCATTTATATACTGATTTCAATAAAGGTAGTCACCAAAAACCTACGAAGCTAAGACCGTTGAGGACCATGGGAAGCACGGTTTCATATTTTGATACAAACTGGAGCTTGATGAAAATGTAACGCAGTTAACTATAAATATCATCTCAAGTCTATCATTAGTTATCAAGCTGTTGAAACATGTAAAATATATCTACCCATAATCCTTGCCGATCTCAGCATTGTAGCTTTTCAGTTGTCCAACTTTTTTTTGAAATAAGTATAAATAACGTTTAACACAGTTCCTCCCACTCGTATCCTTATGACGCCTGTAGTCATCAACGACGTTAGAAAACATACTGATTTTTTTTCTCTTCTTGTTCTTGTTCTTATTTTACTTCTTAATTCTTCTTTTTGCTAAAACATTTTCAGCTCTATCCCTCAAGTGTTATGTGTGCGCTAACAAAAATGGAAACTGTTAGACTGGGGAGACCACGTGTCCACGTGGATTTGATAGATGCGGAATAGCAAAGTTAGATGGTAAGATCAATAAAAGTTGCACTACCAGCCAAGTGTGCAGTCATGCCAAGGAATTTTGCAAGAGCCAGGAAAAGTGTGAAGCCTATTGCTGTGACAGTGACCTGTGCAACGGAGGTGTGCCCCTGAAGCCTGTGACGTTCGTGACTCTCCTCGCCATGACTCTTGCCGTTGCTAAGTATCTCATCTAACCATGACAACGTAGCGGTCATTCACTTTTAAAACGCAGCTAATTTTTTAACATAAAATTTTTCTCGATTAGAAAATGATTGTCATTTTTTCATTTCACTTTCATTCAATTATCGACTATGAACCGTTTTTATCATAAAATTGTGAAAAATAATTGAATAATTAGGTATACAAAATAATTGCATATCAACCTTAAGATTATGTTATTTTTGTTATGTTTACTTTGCTTTTTTGCTTGCTTTTTCAATAAATAAAATAACGACCAAAGGTTGAATTGAACCAATTCAATTGTCTGAAAAAATTACAACGAATGTAAGGTTACAAGGGACAATAATTCTGGGCCCAGTTGTTCAAAGCCCGATTAGTGCTAATCCTGGGTTAACTCTTAATAASACCTATAGAGTTAGTCCAATAATCCTGTTCAAATTTGTCAGACTTACTAATGTTGAGATGCTTTCTCAAATGACAAAGTATTTTGTTCTAACAAGATAATAATCAAAACTCGCCCCAGTGTCTATCGTTTCCAAGTGGACAATTTGCATGTTTTACTGGGATACCTGTGGTTGCCCAATCATAAAATGTCTTTGGTTTCATTTTTGTTTTCTTTTTTTTCCTGTCTTCTCCACGACAAAATGGCAAAGTTGCGCAACAGTACCCAGGGATCTTCAGAAACTTACCCAAGAGACCTTTGCGGGCATATGCTATGGGGTTCACATCCATACTCCAATCAATTATCATGTACCAAATGTCAATCAATGTCACTATGTTATCAAGTGATTATGAGAGGGCGGAGCTAGCAGATCAAGTGGCACAGGTCATGTCTACGCATGCTCTATTTSGTTGTTCGCCGTAATTCAAGACAGCTGAACTAGAAATATTAATTTGTCAATTTCGTGAACAAGGATTTCAAGCCGAGAAGATAGCGATGATTTCGAAGCGATTATTTCTAAGAATTTTCAATGAATAGTTCATGGGCAAAAGTTTTTTTTGGTTTAACTATTCATGATTCATCTACTCCAGTATTTTCTGCACGAACAAGCGAAGATCGATGAGGAGAACAGGGTTTCAAGAGTCAGAATTACGATACGCGATAGGAAAAATTMATTCAGGCATGACTCGTTTATATTCTCAGCTCTTGAACTTGACAATACAGTGTTCTGGCCAGGAATTTCTTTCAGGTGGTCAAAGGGCCCACCAATCCAAAATTTAGGGGCCATTTATAAAAATGGATGGGTACCASTGGATGGGCCAKTTCCAAAATCTTAAAACAAAGAATAATGTTGGTTTTTTTTGCCAGTAACTCTGTTGCAAATCTACAACAATGTAAGACAGTTTTATTAGTAATGATAACACAATAAACTTTCGCTGGGCAGCCATACTTGAGCCTCCAATAAACAAGGTCAGTTAACACAGACTAGTCCGAGTTGGCTAGTGAAATACAAGATGTCGGCTATGTTCGATTCGTGTCGTTTCATATGGACTTTCACCTTGTTTATTGACAATATAATGCAACTTTAATTATTTCAAAAGTACTTTAAATCTTTTAAAGCTATAAGGAAGTTTTGGGGGCGCATAGAGCTGAAATTTGTGCGCCATTTCTGTTTTGTTTTGTTTTGTTTTGTTTTTTTTTTCATGCGCGATTTTTATGCGCAATGGCGCGGCCTGATAACAACACTGCGCCGTGAATATAGATATTCTTATAGCCTATATTTATTTATTTATATTAAATGTTAAAGTCTACTCACAAAGGAACATGAGCTACATAGCAATATTTATTTTGAGATAATATTTGACTAAAGAAGCAAAAGTAAACTATTTGCTAAGCACATTCCAGGGTTCAAGTTCTTTGCCGTTCGAAGCGTTATGATCTCCTTTAATTTTTCTTCAAAAAATAGTGATTCATCAAAAAATATCGATAAATTATAAAATTATAAAATGTAAAGCAAWTATGAGAGAGGTCTTGAGCAAATATTAGCCTGTATTTACGTTTTAAATGAAGCATTTGGATTTTAAACTGAACTACTTATTTATTAGGGATTTATAGTTAAAGTCGGTCGGCAAGCATGGGTTTCCTGTGCCTTTTTTCAGGGTTTTCCGCTGACCTTAATTATCGCTGGCACCCAAGGAAGCGTCTCTCAATCGTCTAGTGAAGAAGGTTGTTGGCTGTTATTGAAAGTCATCGCTTCAAATCTTCAAGAAATTCAAGCCATCGAGRGAAAAACAAGCATTCAGTAATTATGACATTACCTTTAGTTATATTTAGCGTGCTTATTTTTTAGAATAATACTCCAACGTATCATTTTTATGGTGCCTTGACAACAACGTCATTTTACCGCCATTTTAGTTTTCCCCGTTGCACAAATAATTCCAAAAATAGAATCGTTACTTGAAGGAAAAAGGTTAAAGAGAATCAAGCTATAGTGTTTTAATATTTATTTGTGAACTAAAATGCGAAAACATTCAAAAGTTTTAGCAAGATGGCAATTTGTAACAGTTCAGAGCTAAACTCTTCACAATCTTTCGTGTTTTTTTCTGGTTTAAAATTTGCTT